TGTCCATAATGACCCTATACACCAATGAAAGTGCCTTAAATGGGGACGTGATCATCAGAACTGGACCATAGAGCAATGGAAGAAGATTACCTGGTCTGAGGAATCACATTTTCTTTTAGATACGGTTGATGGCCTGGTGCATGTGCATCATTTACCAGGGGCAGCAGGCCAGCAGAGGCATTGTTCTGCTTGGAAACCTTGGGTCCTGGAATTCCTGTGGATGTTATTTTGACATGTACCAAATATATACTTGTTTTCCTGGCACTATAGTGCCCTGGGGGTGCCCCCACCCTCATGGTCCCCCTCCCGCCGGGCTCTGGGGGGAGGAAGGGGTTAAACTTACCTCTTTCTCCAGCGCCAGGCGGGGAACTCTCCTCCTCTCTGCCTCCTCTTCGTGTGAATGCGCATGCGGGCAGGAGCCACGCGCGCATTCAGCCAGTCCATAGGAAAGCATTCACAATGCTTTACTATGGACGCCGACGTCTTCTCCCTGTGATTTTCACAGTGAGAAGCGCGGAAGCCCACTAGCGGCTGTCAATGAGACTGCCACTAGAGGCTGGATTAACCCTAATATAAACATAGCAGTTTTTTCTGAAACTGCTATGTTTATAGAAAAAAGGGTTAACCCTAGCTGGGTCAGGCACACAGACCACCTCATTAAGCTGAAGTGGTCTGGGTGCCTATAGTGGTCCTTTAATGTCTAAACTGTCCAAATTGGGCTCAATTAGCAATTTTCCCTCCCCGGTATCATGCGACTTGTTATTGTTACAAGGTCTCACGTGTGAATGGGGAGCAGGTGTGTTAAATTTGGTGTTATCTCTCTCAAACTCTATCATACTGGTCACTGGAAGTTCAACATGGCATCTCATAGCAAAGAACTCTCTGAGGAACTCTCTTGGCTATAAGAAGATTGCCAAGACCCTGAAACTGAGCTGCAGCACGGTGGGCAAGATCATACAGCGGTTTCACAGGACAGGTTCCACTCAGAACAGGCCTTGCCATGGTCGACCAAAGAAATTGAGTGCACGTGCTCAGCGTCATATCCAGAGGTTGTCTTTTGGAAATAGACGTATAGGCCAAATGGGGTGACAAATGCCGACTTTGGAATGGCCCCAGGCTCCAAAGGGATTTGCCAATATCCCTTGCACAAATCAATAGTGGTCAAATAATTCCCCCCAGCCATACGGTCTAGCAGCTCGTCCACTCTGGGCATGGGGTATGCGTCAGTAACGGTCCGATTGTTTAGCTTACGGTAGTCCACGCAGAACCTGGTGGTACCGTCTTTCTTAGGAACCAGGACTACTGGGGAAGTCCATGGGCTTTGGGACGGTTCTATGACCCCCAGTTCTAACATGTCCTGGAGTTCCTTTAACATGCTTTCCCGCACTGCCTCTGGGATTTGGTAGGGCTGCTGCCACAGGAGTAACTGGCCTGGGGTCTCCACTCTGTTGACTGCCAGGGTCGTATACCCTGGGGCTGCTGAAAACATGCCCCCAAATTCCTTTAACAGTTGGGAAGCCTGAGCTTGTTCCTCGGAACCTAATTCTGGACCCAACTGTACCTGGTCTACTCCTGTGGGTTCTTGGGGAAGCATATCCGGTAAAGGGATACCCTCACTATCTTCATATGCTGGAGCGCATACCGCGGAGACCTCCTCTGGTCTCTCGAGATATGGCTTGAGCATATTTACATGGAAGGACCGCCGGATCCTTTCATCGGAACAGTCTGCCACAATGTTTGTGGTATCACTGATCCGCTCTATTACAGTGTAGGGGCCCTGCCAGGTGCGCTCTGTTATCCCCAGCTGCCTGTACAGGGTTCACCTCATGTAAGGTGGCCCAATTCTCATTGTGGTTACTGGGTGTCTCTTGAGTCAGAGAGTTGTAATCCTCTTGCACACAGTGTGCGGCTGCTTTGGTCGGTGGTACCGGTGCCCGCCCCCAGCGGTCTGTAGTGCGTTGTGGGAAATTAGGTTTGATGTGTCCCACTTGCTTGCACCCATAACACATTGGAGTGGTCTTTTGGTACCCCGGGGTTGTGGTATTGCCCCCCGGTGGTGGTACCCTCTGTGGCATAGTTGGCGGGCCAGATG